TCACCTGGGAACCACTTCTCAGCAAGCTAGATGAGCACAAAAGGGGTAAGTGGCAGCAGCACAGGGAAGCACTTGCAGCAGCAGGCCCACAGCTTGTGGTGCAGGAAGAGGCGGCAATAGCTGTGGCTGCTTGACACCATCACCAGCTCACTCAGGAAGCCCCAGCAGCCACAGAAGCACAGCAGGCCCCCCACCCTTACCCGGTGCCACCTTTGGGCCAGCCCCTGCCGCAGCCCCAGCGTAGCCCGTGGAGCAGGTGATAGTGCAGCACCAGGCAGTTTACAAGGGCATAAAGCCAGCAGGGTCCTGGCAGCAACCCAGGGCGCAGCACTTCCTTGAGGCAGCTGCCTAGCACCAACAGGACCCTGCGCCCAAGCAGCAGCTCCTGCTCCTCCTCCCTGCCCTTCCCACCAGAGTAGGGGAGCAACAGCCTGGGAGGGACTGCCCAGGGCCCAGAAAGGAGGCTCAAGCGGAGAGCAGGGGGCATGGCCATACCCCATCCAGGGCCAGCGCTCTCAGCCAGGAAAGTGGGGTTTAAACCCCCTCCCTCACCTCAGACCCCAGGCCAGGGTTCTCCGGGTAGGGCAGTCCCTCCCAAGTTGTTGACCCCCCAACCCTGCCTCATGCCCCCACCCGTTCTACTCCAGTCCCTGCCAAGCAGACCCCAGCTGGGGTCTCATGTCAGTGGAAGAGGGGATTCAACCCCCCCTCCTTCCCCTGTGCCTGAGCCTGCCAGCTGATGCCTCTGCTCCAGCAGGGAAAATTCTGGTAGGGGCTGCCCCCACTGCAGACCTGGCTGTGGTCCCCAGCCAGGTTTCCCACCTCCACCCCCTTGTCAGCCAGCCTGTCTAGGGAACAGATGGGTGAGGCCATCCCTGCTCTCTGAAACAGAAACCCAGCCCAGGGCTGCAAAGCATCCTGTGATGCTGGGGGACCATAATTTAACTTGAACCAGGAAGGGGTCCAGGGCAGAAGTTTCATAAACTGGTTTAGCCTAATCATTTAAGTACGATATTACATTCAACTAGGTTTACCTTAAACCAGTTTCAGCCATTTTGCAACTGGTTTATGTGCACTGAATTTATGTTGTTACAGGTTTAAACCAGTTTCTGAACACTTAAACCAGTTTATGTGCAACTTCTGTCCCTAGCCTAGTAGTTGCATTTTGCTGTCCCATGACAGCATGCAAACTGATAACCTATATGTTAAAAAAACATTGCTTCCAGATGTAACAAGGGATTCAATGTGTTCACCCCCATATCTAAAAAAAGAAATGCAAAATTTACTTCTCAGAGTTGAGGTTTTGGGAAAACATGCACTTGTTTGAACACACACACGTACACGTACACGCCCTCCCCCCACGGGTTGTTGTAACTCAACGTTTCCCAACCAGTGTGCTGCGGCACAAAAGTGCGCCATCAGAAATGAACAGGTGTGCCACACAATTTAGCCGTGGCAATGAGCTACCATAGGTACAAGGATGGGGAATGCCTTAGCAGGTGTGCCGCAGAAAATTCTAAGTAATGTAAGTAATTGTAATGTAAATGTGCCTTGGGCTGGAAACACTGTTGTAACCAACAAAATTCTGACCACTGCAAGTTTTAGAAAACATCAGGGAACAAAATTGCGGGGGTGAAATTTGCAAGGCAGTAGAATGCAACTGATGTGGAGTAGAAATAACATTCCTTAAATATTTCAGTGAATAAAATTATGAAGAGCTGCAAATCAGATATCCAATCTACCTAATAATGCTTCATGGCTTGGTACCTCCTTGAAACAGTGATTGTTTCCACTTGCTGAGAATTAAATGTTTTAATACACTTCAGTGCTCAGCACTGTGCTTTAAAAGAAGCTCTGTCTCTACAAGGTGAGGTAATAGACTTCATTTAACACCAACAAGAGAAAAAGTTAACTACATAATTTACCCTTCCTGGGCAATCTGACACGCACAAAAATGAACTACCTGTTTTTAAAAGGTCTGTGTGCTTGGCAACAGACCATGCATCTGTTACAGGTTTCAAAGAATGTACATTTGAAAAAGTTACCAACCAGTGAGTAATACTGATAGTTTTTAAATATAAACTTTTAGAAGTCAATTGGGTGTCTGGCTTTTAAATCAAACTTATCTCCAGACAAAACTATCCAGTTTCACAAAGTCAAAAAATACCTCCTAAAGACTCGGCATTCAGTAAAACCTTACATCAAGATTCTTGAAAATGCCACTCCCTCAGGCCAAATAATTTTTTCCCCTCAGCAAGTGCCTGCTGGCACAGTCTACTGTAAGTTTCTACCCCTTGTGATTAACAAAGTTACCTCAAAAACAAGAACTTGAGTATAAGCTCACATAGTCTGCCTTCCTAAATTTGCATATACACAGGTCCCATTCCTCTTCCTTCATGCTTTTTACAGTTACAGCATTATTGGTCTGTTTAGTTTTCACTGAAGCAACTCCAAACCATATATAATGTTAAACCTGACAAGGCTCAAGTCAGTTATATGTGCAACATCTTGAGAAAACTGAATAGCAGCAAAGTCAGATGCTAGAGTTGTTAACTAGGGAAAACCAGCCAGAAAAAATGGTAGATATGAAAAGATCCTCTTGCCTGTCTGTGAGCATGGGAGAGAGGGATAGAATACAACCTTTTTCTTCAAGAAGTCAAAGAAGCCAGCTTTTAGAAATCTGATTATCAGAGGCTAGGAGTGATAACTTCTTCAAATAGCACCTTGACAGGTGTCTCTCTCACCCTCCAGAATCTGGATGTCACATTGACTTCTCCCTTCCACTTGCTCGGCTTTTCTGATGATAGATAAACTTTGCAGTTCATATGTGTGAGGATCAGTGGGACATAATAAGTAGATGTGAGCTACTCATAAATGTGCATGGGTGAATGGATGTGGGCAACAGAATGGATATGGACAGGTGGAGGGAGATCAGTTCTGGCAGAAGAGAAAATAACAAAGAATGCACAACGGGGCAGAGAGAGAGAGAGAAACATAGCAAAATAAGGCATGGAAGAAAAGGGAAAAATAAGCAGTAAACAGAAAACAATTCAGATAAACAATTCAGAGCAGGAATGTAAATAGGGGGCAATCAGCTGTGGCTTAATTGCCATGGCTCTTGGAGCCACAGCAGCTGCCACTAATCTCACCACCAAATTTCCAGCCCATGTGCTGGATCCAGAGAGCAGTCATGTCATTTGGCCTGCAGAACTGCCCACAGGTCAGAAATGTGGTAGCAGGATGAGCAGTGGCTGCTGCAACAATTAATACTGTCATCACTTGTCCCCCTGCCAAATTTCTGACCCATGTGTCAGATGACATGGCTCCTTGCTCCAGATCTAGCTTGTAAATTGGCCCTGGCCGAATGAGCTTGACACCCCTGATTTAGACAGTAGAAAACAGAATGAAACCTAACAGGAAAGAACACCAAACAACATAAGGCATTGAAAATAAATAGATTAATGGGTGGAGGATAAAGTAAAGTATAGTACACTAACATTCAATTCCAGTCAGTTGCAGGTGCCCCTAATGGATATGAAAGCTCTTGGCACTTTACCCTCATATTGCTGCAGAGACTACTTACTATACTGCATGCAGTTTAAAGAGAATTAAGACTGTGATTGCAGTGGTAACCTTACAGTCATCCTAAAACTCATGCATGAGAAGCATCTACACTGCAAAGCCCTTAGTTTGACTCCAGAAGTAGTCCAGCTCAAGCCTGGAAGTTCTGCTGAACTAGTCAAAGCTGCCCCTACTCATCTATCAGATCTCCCCTTTTTGTCCAGGTGCTGCTGGCCTTAAGCATGTAGGATTTCCACTGACAGAATTCCTACAATTCCTTATACCAGACCTTCAGTCCTTCTGCATCCCCATTTCCTTGCTCAACTGCACATATATGGAGACAAGCCAATTCCTAAGTAGACTCTAGTTCACAGGTGAGCTGCATAATATGGATAGCTTTGGTGTAGGCTACAAGGTAAGATAATGACAGGCCTGTTGAGGGTGACCTAAAGGTGAACCCTAAATATCTTTGTTGAAATGATTTAAGTGTCACACCAGTGGCAAAATTGGGATCAGGGTGGAAGTCCTCATTTGTAGGCCCTGATGTAATCATCAGACCATAGTCCTTCTTCTTAAGACTGCTGTTAGAAGATGTATGTGCTCAACCATTTTAACGAATCCTACATATATTCAAGTTTAGTAACAATGTTTCTAACCATGAACATATAGGTACCTACTAGATTTGTAAGAAAATTTTTTAATCTATACCAGTGGTTTTCAACCTTTTTAGACTGAAGGCACCCTTTGGAAAATTCCAGCTCTTATTTTTCGCGCTCATTTTTCTTGGTTTTGGGAAAAAAAGAGCAAATCTGTTGCAAAAAATTCAGAAATACCATGAATGTTTTTGACACTCTGGATTACTATGTGAATTATCTGGGTTTGTCCTGTTAATTATGTAGGTGTTTGCACTTCTAACAGTGATAATATTGAGTGGCACCACATGGCATCCTTAAAAGGATTTTGCAGCACCCTGATTGAATCATTAATCTATGTATACCCTTCTTATGCTATCAACCTGTTGACCATAAAGTGATGCAGCTAAACCAACTGCTGCTTTTTCCTGTACCCTACCAACCCTAGAAAAAGTATTTATTGCAACATCATCCTTCTTGGACAACAGCAGGATAAAATACTGGTATTAAAATTCCTGCACTGTTTCCTATGAAAAGCTCAAGAATCCAACCCTTCCTTTAGGATGCGGTTTGAACCCATGCAAAGAACCATGAAACGGCTAAAGAAGGTCAGGTAAGGTAAGGCAATAGAAGCAGGAAGTAATAACATGTGAGGGGAAAAAAAAGATTCTAAGCTCTTCTTCTAATGGAATTAGTGTCAAGGAAGGCAGCTGATCTGCATCCCTACACAAAATTTTTAAAAAAGAAAGAAAAGAAAAAGGATTAAATAGCTCCCCTGAAAAGGCTATTTATGCAACATATACTCACGTATATTTCATTGTGGTCAAAGCGCTTTTTGAGGTTATTGATGAATGTATCTTCATTGAGAGGCTCTAAAAGCACCATATCTCCCACCCCAATCATGTTGTCTAGAAGTGATGTCTTTGCCTCCATTTTGGCCATTTTCCTTTCTAAAAGAGAGAACAGAAAACAAATCTGAGAACACTAGCTTAAAAGGTTCTCTTTATACACAGAAACCTACCAGCAATCCTTCTCATCACCAAACAAATATAAACTCATCAAATGACTTAGATTAAAAATGTTAGATTTTAAAATACTTAATATATCTGAAATGTTGATATTAGTAACAATTCAAGAAATGTAGTCCATTGTCCCAAAAATGTCATTCAAGTATGTTCTACCTCAAACAGTCAACTGAGTGATGATTTCAACAGGCTAAAACCCCAAACCTCTTTCAGGTTTATTTTGTTTGCAACTCTGTTACGATATGCTGCTGTTCCCTTAAGCCAGTGTTCACCAACCGGTCGATCCCAATCAACTGGTTGATCCTGGAGCCTTTGAAAGTTGATCTCAGCCCCTCCAGACTAAGATCAACTGTCAGAGACTCCATGATTGGGAGCAGAAGGATGCACATGGGAAGTGGCAGGATGGCAGCAGGCCACATGTGGCTGGGCTGAGCCATGCCCCCTGGCACTGGGGCTGGGCTGGGCAAGTGGGACAATCCCTGTCTGTGCTCTGCCACATCCCCTGCCACGAGGTGAATGGGGCCATGGCTGGGCTGGAAGAGGGTCAGAGTCCAGGCAGCTCATCCAGGCGAAAGGGAGGGCTCCTGCTGCGGCACGCAGCCAGGCGGAGGCCTAGAGGGCACCTCCCCCCGACCCCAATCTTGTGCACGGCTCAGGATGCAAAGCCCAACATGCAGTGGTAGCCACCTCTGCCCCACACACAAACCAGGGGGGCATGTAACCCCTGGCTCTCTGCTGGGGTGCGTGCAGTGGCAGAAGCCCCCCCCCCCC